GCGTGTACCTTCCGGGGAAGGGGTATGCTGCTTGGTCCGGTGGTCCGCAAGCGCCTCAGCAATGGGGTGCCGCGCCGCAAGCGACCGCGGTCGCGAGTCCCGGGCTTTCGCCGTGGAGTCGTGGCCGATCGGTACCGAACCTGCCTCCTCTGCACTCGTCGCTGCACGCGGCCGCCGCGGTGGCCGCTGCCGCGGGCCTCCAGGGGAGGAAACCTAGCCCCACGTTTCCCGGTCATCCGGGCCCCGCGGCTCACCCCTCTTGCATCAGTCCGGTCAAGTTTCGAAGGAGCACCTCGTACCCTGGCAAAGGCAACATGTATCCACCGCAACCGGCACCTACCTTCGAGGTTACCGCCGCCGAAGACAGGGATTTGCTACAACTGCCTCCGTTTCAGCAAGTAAGTCGGTCTCCCTGTTCGAATTATCGGCTGACGGTCGAACGTCGGCTGGAAGGGCAACTTTGTTCGTAACGATTCGAGCAGGCCGTTGCGTGGGTGTTTCTTCGAGGTTCAATCCGGCATTCCATTATCGATCGTTGACCATCGACCGCGCGGTAAAGGGTACGCGTTGTAACGCCACGTCGGTAATCGCGCATACCCGTCGAAAAAAAGTATACAGCTACCGGTAGTTTCAACTTCCGCAGTTTCGCTCGTGCACGCACTCGATGCCAGGTTATGCAACCACTTCGAGACTCGAATTTAAATTTAGACAGCGCAGCAACGGCTGTTTCGACGATCGTGCGGCGTACGTCGTACACCGGGACATCGTTCCATTTTCGAACGGGAAATCGTTCGTCGAGAAATTCTCAGCGACTCCCTTCGAGATCTCGATGCGAGAACACGCTCGGTCGAATCTCCTCTCGCTCTTTCTTATTTCCCCGGTGGCGTTTGTCGGGTTTCGGTTTTATTCCGGCTTGGCGGTTTTGCTCTGCTCTCCGAACGATCGAAAGTTCCAAGGCGGCACGTGTTTCGCGGAACTATCCGTAACGCGACGACCGCCTCGACCAACGAATCGTCGATGCGAAACGAGAAAAGTGAACGATATCGAAACGAACCCGTTTCTGTCGTTCGAGCGCACGCACGGAAATCCAGAAGCTTCGTTGAGCATCGTCGAGCGTCGTCGAGCATCGTTAACGATTGTTCGCGTTCGCGGCTAATCGAGGCACGAAACGTTCCTCGAATTTCTGGGAATTTCGCGATTCGAAAACCGAGGAAAAGCTTTCTCGTTCCTCGTTTTTCGTTTCTCGTTTCGTCGCTGATGCCTGACCTAATTTCGTTCGTACGTG